TCATGCGACCATCCGATAACGAGAAATTCAATAACTCAATCTCAGCACGCCAAATCGTTAAAATAAATATAGATAAACAAATAAATAAATAATAAAATAATAAAATAATTTTTTTCTCTTCATTGTGTGAAACCTTTCTGCCGAACGCATGATGGAAAAAACACAGGCATCTCTATCAATTCAGATTCAATCAACGCGTCCCAACCAAAGTCCTCGATACGTGTTCTATTTCTAGCGAGAAGACGGTATGACCGCATGCATTTGGCGTGTTCCTCAATTTACCCGAATGTTTGTCCTTATTTTGCATCCCGTTGTTATCTTTTGCTTGTTTGAAGTTAAATATCGAAGTCAAAATGCGTGCGGATAGTGATACTTTCACTATCACCTGTCATCAGGGCGTACGCATGTGCGTTCCTCACGTACGTCAACGTTTAACCATATACTCCGAAAATACTTCATGAGGTGACACGAAGAGTGCACAAGAACCTTGTGAAAGTACATCGACCTTTTGGAATGTAACGAAGAATTCTCGTCGAATGTTTTTTTAACCGTCGTCGTGCGTGGCATTTCAAAAAAACATGACACACTGTGTATTGCATGTAGGATTCCATTTTAGGATCGTGCATTTTCTATCTGTGGAATTCTTTTTCCGTAAGAAAAAAAATATATTCTACTTTTTCGTGAAAGATGATACGTTCCACGGTGAGGTAATGATTCTATTTACAATTTCTCATGGGCGTGATGCTTAACATTTTTGTCACGCCAAAGGAAATTCAGTCCCGGGTGGACCAAGCTAGTCAAATAAAGAAAAGAACAACGCACTCTATGTCAAAAATTCTTGGTGTTACTGAAACCAAGGTTACACGCGGAGACGGATTTATATTGCTGCTAAGATCTCCCTCATCGTGTAACCTATGGTTGTTGATATTACATTATTTTCGATCACATCTTATCTCTTCTTATCTGATGAACAGCCATGTCACAGGAATAACTGCCAATTTTCCGTTAATCGAGACCAATTCCAAAAGACTTCTATACGAGAATCAAGGTTAATATTACTCTTTGAACCGCATGATGCCATTAATATATGTTTTGTTGATTACGAAAATTCTATATCATCACTTGGTCGAATCATTTTGCCAAATTCGCACTAAACCATATGCATCAAAGGTCACATCTTCGGTGACACGAATGAACAAAAAAAACAAATAATAAACATCGATTATATTTGTCCAAATAAAAATTACGTAAAAGATAGCATGGAATTACTTAATACGTCCGTTAGGGGTAAACATGAGTGTAGAGCAATGAAAGACTATATATGTAAAAAGGAAATGTTCCCATCACTCGGTGACCTGTCTCGAATCCTCAAGGTTTAAAAAATTTTAAAAAATTTGCTGCAACTCATTGTACCTTCTTTCCATACTCATCAATGAGAATCCTTGTGTCACTACCAAATTTGTCAATCATTCTGGAAGTTCCTAACCACATTGATACCTATTTAGCGCTTTTTTCATACTAAAAAAAGAACCATAATTCGCCTATCATATCTCAAAAAGGGCATGGAAAAAAATTTTAATGAAAAAAAAAAAAAAAATCCATCAACTAAAAGCGTTGCATACACTGTATGCATGATAGTTGTTGAGTAGGTGAAGAATACGTATGTGACCATTTTGTCAGATTGTGCTATCGATAAAAATTTCTGTCTTGCTTACCTCATGTTACCAGCAAAAAATTTTGTAGACCCACAGATGTAAAAGGAGGGCGAATCAAAAATTCGCAAACATGCTATTCCAAGTTCATCATCTGTCGAATTATTTCAATGGCGCCCATAATCTTTGCGCGGGTTTAATCATGCACGTGAGAGTCCAAAATGCATGTTGTAAATCTCTTCATTACAGATCGGAATGTTATTATAATGATAATAATCAGATATGCCTTTTTGGGTGAAGGGATAAAAAATCGAACAGAACTTTTGAAATTTTCCGGGTTGTTAAACAAAATGATATAGATTATCTGATTTTAAATCGGTCCACGAATTTTCTTGCGGCGTGAATATAAACACGCATGTTTTTTTGTGCGTCATTGTTTATCACCAATCGACTTCAAAGAAAAAAACCTTTTTCCTTAAAAAATTATCGTCTATCGTTATGCACAATGAACACAAAATCATCATGTTTGGACCAGTATCGAGATTTCAAAGGAATGCTGTTGTCTGTATGCGTTTCTCTTTTCGATGTCCTTATTCTCCCTTGGCTTGGCACATATTTTCGTGGAATAAGCTTCGTTATTTAAAATTAGCCGTTGAAGATGATAAGTGATATGTCGGTATTTTTTTTTTTTTGATCAGTAAATAGTATATACAAAGATGTCGTCGTAAATGGTGAATCAAGCACAATGATTCGTGATTGCTGGAATTTAAAATTCTAATATTTTTAAAGTTATCTATTCTCATTTGTTATTCAGGAGATTTCTAAAATTAATTGAAATTAATAATTCATTGCATATAAACAAACAACGTAACCGATCACCGATTAGTCTTAAGAAACCTATTTCTATTAAATTTTAAATGGTGATTTATACTGTAAAAATAGAGATTTTTTTTGAATAATTTTGTTAAGAAAAAAAAACCAAACCATAAGTTATATCCCATCCCATCATTGATCATTATGGATTAATTAATAAAGTTTAACGGATCAGTCATCGTTAAACACAGTAAGAGTTTAGAGTTTTGGAACGCTCTTTTGTTTTCTCACGCTTTATTAAATAAATAATACGTCGTATAATAACACGTGCGCCCATAACTTATTAACTAAGACTAATGCCACCACGGTAAAGTAAACTCTAAGGAAGACACCGACGTTACCTTTGCACCGTGTAAAGAGCGACACTTGTAATCTTGAGACGCGCCTAGAGAGACGGCCAGGAAGAGATTAGCAAGTGCAAGAGACCGATCAAATCGTAAACCGCCTCAGAGTTAAAGCTGCCTTACCTCATTTAATGCCGAAATCCAAGTGTTCTGATTATCGTCACGCGAGAAGAAGCTGAAGTTAGCGACAGACTCGCCGGCGACGGCCTATTATGGTTTTATTTATTCTTTTATAAAATAATCATTTGGATTCTATCTTTATTTCTTTGTTTAAAATTTTTTTTTTTTGATATAAAAAAAATTTAAAAAATTATTCTAAATTCTTGTTACTTTATTTTTTTTCACAAGATTTTTTCTGATTATTGAGTAAACTTTCTGAAATGAAATGATAATCGATCCAAAAACAAAAGTTACAAATCAAATAATAGATTTGTGAAATAAATTTATAATTAATGTTATTTTTCATTTCATATTTTGGTTTTAACAAAAAATTACCATGTTGTTTTTAAAATACTTTTAAATACTATAAAAGCAAATTAATTTTTAATTATTATAAAAAACAAAAAAACGTATATAACTGATATAGTGCTATTATCTAAATCATATAATTGAACCTATTAAAAAATTTTTGAAACTTTTTTTTTGAAAAAAAAAAAACCAGAAATATAAAAAACTCTATTAATATATCAGTTATTAGTATATGCATTTAATAATTGTTTTATGTAACATGTATTTTTTATCATTAATATACTTTATTTATTGACTTTAAGCTTTTGTAATATTATTTCTAAACTTTATATAAATAAAAAAATTTTTTAATTTTCTTTATTTTAAAATATATAATGAATAAAAAAAAATAAAAATAATTTATTATAGAATTATTTTAAATCAATAAAGAAGAATTTGTTTTAGTACAAAAAAATAAAATTCTAACAAATATTATTAAATATATTAATAAATTAATTAATAAATTAATTAATATAACAATACTTGATATAACCATATTAAATATAATTATTCTTTTAAATTATTATTTAATATTACAAATTAATAAAAATATCACAAGGCATTTTATTGATCTAAAACAATAAAAAATTATTCCTCTTTAAATAAACTATTATTAAAGTTAAAAACAAATATATTAATAAAATATTAAAAACATGGATTATTTCTCTTTTTTATTTATCAAATCTTGAAAATATTAATAAATTTTTTTAGAAAACAAAAAATTAATAAATTTATCTATAAATTTTATATAACAAAAGAAGAGCAATATTTATAAAAAATATATTGGCTTTAATTAATAATATCTTTATAAATATAAATTAAATTTATTTGACAAAAATGATTTTTATTAATTAATTCAACTTTAAATAAAATTTTAAAAGAAATAAAAAAATTGAAAATTATTGTTACTAAATCTTATAATAAAATAATTAATAAAGAATTAAAAATTATTTTATATTATAATAAAATATTTTTAAATAATTTATATTCTATAATCCTTTGTTATATTCAAACAATAAAACAAACTATTATTATTCTTATTTCCAAAAAATTAATCTAAAGCTACAAACTAATCAATACCAAATCTATTTTATTTATTAAATTTACAAAAAAAGTATTTACAGAAATAATTAACAAGAAATTAATCAAAATTCTCAAAAACAATAATATCTTATTAAAATTTAACTATACTATTTGTTAGAACAAAGTACTATAAAACTATTATCAAATGTTAACTTAACTTTTCAAGTTGCAAATATTAATAACAAAAAATTTTAATTTGCATTTCTTAATATTACTAAAATATTTGACTTCAAACCTATATCAGAAATAAGAAAATCTTTAGATATCCTGAATCTATTATCAGTTTTATTAATAATATTCTTAATAGCAAAGAAACCTCTATCAATATATTTTTTGAATTAACTAAACCATTTATTATTAATAATAATATAGAATAAAGTAAATTATTATTTTCAATTACCTGAATTATTTTTTATAATCTTCTGGTTATCAAGCTATTCCAATACCATTTGATTCAAGAGTATATTTCTCTTAATATTCTAACTTACATAAATAATTTTATACTTATTGTTAATTTCAAACAAAAAATAAAATCTTTTTTTAACAACAAACCAATTTTTTATAATAAATAGTATTACATATAACAAAAATAAACAAAGATTATTAGCAATATTAGAACAAAATATAATACTCAAAACAAATTAAATTTGATAATTATCAAATACAAGTACTCAAATTCTATAAAAGTATCAAATATCTTGAAATACTAATTTTCTTTAGAAACTATTACAAATTTAATAAAAAAGCTTTTGTTTAAATCATAACAAAAATTCTTAATGAATTAATTAAAAAGATTAAATTAAATAACAAATCAGTAATTGAATAATCATAAACAAATATGAATACTTTTTTTTTTATCATTTATTAATAAAATCATTCTTAACTTATTTTAAGTCAAGATTAATAAACTTATAAAGTTATATACAAAATCTTATCCAAATATTCCAATA